GTAATTTATGATAGCAAGGTAATTTAAAGGTCTCATACAATGGGAAAGGGTGCACAACCTTAAAGCTACAGTTAACATTTATTTCCACCCCAAATTGAGAAGATGCTACAAAGTCAGCCACCAGAGGCTATATCACTCACATTTACGTCAGAGGGACTTTAATTGCCTACATTTATTCTTATTTTATATACAATTATTTTCATAGGCTTAGGGGTATATAGGGACTTCAGAAGTTATGTGGTATATCTTTTTTATCTCTAGCTAAACTGTCCGAGCAGATAACTAGCTGTGCCACATGTCATCATTATCAGTGAATGTCTAAGGGCCCGGTCCTGTTCAGTACCCACCAGACAGAAAGTTTTGATTCTTACTCAACCCACATCTCACTGTTTGCAGGAGAAATGTAGAAGAATAAATTCCCATCCTATCTACCACTACCTTTTATATGTTAAAGCCACTTTTTTGTTTCAGTTGGGTATCAGTGTAGGTAAGTCAGGTGTCTGTGCACGTTCATCTGACCATAAATTCTTGGAAAGCCAAAAGTCAGGTAAGGCTATGGCAATCAGCCTTTTATCCCCTGCTACAGCTTTATCTATAACCAGAAGCCAGATTTTCTCATATTATGATTTTTTTCCTACTGTGAATTTCTGGGGTTTTCCCCAGAGAAAATAAAAGAAAGTATCCTTAGTATTTACGACATGGAAGAAGTTTTTGTCATATGCTCCAAAGCACTGTTCTTTTTCTTGGTTGCACCTGTTGTGCCTGTAAATTCATGTCAACCTTAAGTGAGTGTCTATCATCCTCATTAAAATGTAAGCTCCATGAGGGCAGATTCCAAATCTGCCTGTTCATCAGCATATTCCAAGTATATTGCACGATATTTGGCACACAAAAGGTTCTTTATACCTGGAGAATTCACAAACGCCTTTCAAAATCATTTCAGTCTAACACCCCATTTGAGAGGATATAAAAACTGAGTCTGTAAAAGTCATTCTTAAAAATGACTTGCCCCAGATTGTATAACATGTTAATGACAAAGCCAGGATTAGAATTCTGGATTCCTGATTGCCCATTCACATTCTCGGTCCATTACACCACAGAAGCTCTTATACCTAATACCCTAGGCAGGCAACACTACTGATGAGTAAGGCACAGAAACCTTTGTGATCTAAACATCATTTGGTTGTCGGCCTGGCCCCCAGTGTTCCTTATCAGTTAGAACATAGAAACCCTTCCATAAATATGCCCGATTTATACATACTTTATGTAAGACTCCAAGAACAGAACCCAAAATGGAATTCTACAGCCAGAGCAAAAAGCCAGTTTATTCTCAAATAGAGGGTCAAGTTTTACAGAGGCCTAGCCACAGATGCCAACTGAGTTTCCATGGTTCAGCGGCTGCTGAATCAAATATTCTGCTAAACAGAGCTCCAATTTGTATGGTTTTTTCAATTTTATTTTGGGGTTTCTTTAATGCAAATATCAAAAAATAGAGTTTCTGAGCAGATGAAAAAAGTAATGTGAATTTTTAGAGATGATGAAGGTGATCTAAAATTGGATTGTGGTGATGATTTCCCAACTCCATAAATTTATTTTTTAAATCTTTAAATTCTACACTTAAAATGGGTAATTATTGTAAATTATACTTCAACAATAATTGAAAATTTATTTAAAATACTTCAATATTTTTAAAGTATTAAAAATAAGTATAAAAATTAGAAAGTTAAAAATAAGTGTGAAAATGAGTCAGAAAATTAAAGTAGGTATTTCTTTTTATAAACATCTGGTATCAAAACTGTAAAGACATTTTTAAATACCCCCATAGATTTTTAAGCCCAGGTTTTATCTACTTCAATCCTGGTTTAACTATAAGGTCAAAAGTTTTTCCTGTAATTTTGTTAAAAAATAATTTAGTAGACTAATATAAATACCTTGGTGTAGCACTGAGATACTAAGTTGTTTGACTGATATCTGCATGAATGATCTATAGATATATTTGTTTAATTAGGCATAGTGTATTAGTCATCAGCCATTGGATTTTCAGCAAGTTACACATCTCCAGACCTCTGTTTTCCCACCTCTTATCATACGTCCCTATGGACCAGATGATTAAATAGCATATAATAGAGTAAAAAGAATAGTAATTGCTATTATCTAATGAATAGCCACCAATATGCCAGACTGTTTAACTTATCATACTACAAGGAAGGTATTATTATTAGCTATTTCTTTGCAGATGAGGAAACTGGAACACAGAGTTCATTAGTTTGACCAAGCTCACACAGTTATTCAGTAGCAGACCCAGGATTTCAATCCAGAACTGTCCAGCTCCAAAACCTATACTCATTCTCTATTTCTCACTGGACTTCGGGCTTTTGATTCTATCACATGTGCACATGAGTCCTGACCTTGCCTTTACTATGTTAAGTTAGTCACCTTCTGAGTCCAGTTTCCTAATCTATAAGATCACCAATGTTTAACTCTTAGGGTTGTTGTAAAGATTAAATGAGAGTGCTTCCTCTATAATTAGAAACTATTCAATATTATTCTTTCTCATCCCTCTCCCATACAAGCTCCTTCCTGTGTTTTTTTTAAAAAAAAAATAAAAATCTATTTTAAAAAACCTGTAAATTCTATGATTTCCTTGTAGCCTACCTGGATAAACCTCACTGGGACTGAGTTCTATCGAAAGCAATTAAAGTGAACACAAACAACACAGCATTAATCCTTTGCTATCAGTCCTTGGCTCTGTGATGGAGATTGTCAACAAGAGTGTCAACTTCAAGGGGTGGGCATCTGTCCACAGGAACTGAGCGAGCTGAGGTCACAGACTTGTCTCACTCTGCCCTACAAACAGATGTCTGGGTGACAAATCTTAGTCACTGCAAACCAGGGTTAGAGCCAAACCAGGTGGGAAGTGCTGTATCTCCTTTCTAATCCTCTTGGCCAGCCTGTTCATTCCCTAAAACAATAACTCACTGACCTTATGTCTTATGTCTTCAAAACAACTGGTTTTCCCCCAGGATACTACTTTCAACATAATGCCTTTATTTTGATGATATCTAATTATTCCACAAGCAGAAGAGAGTGTTTCTATAATAATGATTTGTCGGCAAGAAACCTGTTTGATTCTGTGTATTGAAATGTGTACCTTCAAATATTTCTCAAGTAACCTGGTGAAAACTGATGAAATGTGGAGCTCTAGTGGTGGCAAGAAAGTAAAGCAGCCCTTAGTGAGGACCAACAAGACAGCCTAGGAAATCACCATTTTATTTATTTATTTGTTTGTTTGTTTGTTTGTTTGTTATTGTGGTGAAATCACCATTTATTATTTGCTTAATGTTAAGGGAAAAAAATGGTTTGAAATGATCTTCCAAGATAATGTAAGGTAAACTCTAAATATGTCTTTCTTCCAGATTACATATTAGACCTCAACAACTATCTTATATCAAACATCATGAAGTAGTTAAATGCACACAAAAAACAGCTCAGTGCTGTGGTTGTTATTTTTCTACTTTTTGCCCAGCCCACTAAGAATCCTATTAATTAATCACTAGTTATTTGTCACACAGCTAACAAGAGTAATGAAGAGAGAAAATGCTAGACTCTAAGTGGTATGACTGGTGAAGTCCTATAACACCTGTTTTGGGAATTTAAATAATCCCTCCAAGCTGATGAGGTTTTTGCGAGTTAATTCCTGCACTAGAAAAATGCTTTCCTTGAATTTCTGACTTCTGAGGTCTTTTCCATTTTAAAACAACCGAGAATGAAACCTACGATGTCAAAACAAACATTAACATTTCCCTGTTACCTAATGTATATGTCTTCTCAATTGAAAGGGCTTCATTTACAAAAAATACAGCTCCACTATGGTCACCAATGTAGCAGAACATAAACAGTAAAACTTGTATGATGTACAACTGGGAGTTGACATTTAAAATTTCTAAACATGGTGCCTGGGTTAGCTGTGATATCATGAGGAAAAACAAGCTATAATGAGAGAAAAATACTCAGAATATGAAAAAATGCAGAAAGTAGCCTTTCCACATATAAGTATCTAAGCATCGTGTTCCTGAACAGTACAGAAAATGTAAGAGACTCACTTTTCCATAAGTGATGGTAAAAGATACTAAATGTTCATAAACGCATTAACAACATTTATCTGACATAAATATCTCAACTGATGGCAGTTGTCCATGGTTTTTATCAGTTGAATCCACAAGATGTTTTCCAATAGACATATTTTAAGGGCTTCTAAATTGTTAGGTCTACAGATAACCTGACTCCCTAGCCTCAGAGGTCTATGAAGGAAGATTTAATGATTACCTAGAGGTTTCATTCATTGATATCCCTTTTCCATCCTTTTACTAATGTGCTGTCATTATAGAATCCCCTAAAGCTACACAGAAAAAAAAAGGTAAAAATATAAGAGCCTTTTCTGAGAGGCCATTGAGAATGCAGTAGTTTACAATGGGAAGCTAAAGATAAAGAACTAAATTCCTTTAGCTACAGGATAGGAGAACCTTTTTGATAGAAAATAATAAAAGCAGGAGGGGAAGTTAAGGTCTTTTACAAACATAATCATGTCAAAAAGAGCAAACGGAAACCTATACTAATCCAACATTCGCCACCAGGGAATTCAGAATCTAACGTGTTCCGCAGTTCTTTCACAGTAGACATTAAAATTGAATAAAATTGAACAGTATTTTTCAACCTGTGAATCTAAGAATTTCATCTTTGTACATCATCTTGCCGTATTTTCCATGGTGATTGTCTCTCTCTCTCCTTTGTTCTCTCATAACAGACCTTGGTATGCTGCTTAAAATAATATTTGGGGCTTTATTTGCCATTCTTTTGACTAAGACATGTTGATTTTATTAAAGTAAGTTGGGTCTGCACTCTTTCTTTACTATTACTACAGGTAGACTTGACAGACACAGGACTTTTGTTTTAAAATGCTCTGCTATGGAGCCAACCTTGTTAAATAAGTTCCATTTTACCTGCTGGGCAGTTGCATTCTGAAGGTGCTTCTCTTGCGACTCTTATTTTAGCCATGTGTTCATAGGATTTCTACAGGGGGGAAAAAGAAGAGGTATTAAGAGTCATCAGTAGCACTGGAGAGAAATGGGTTCTTTAGGGATTCTCTGGCCATATGCTTGATTGCCCAGCATTTGATAGCCTGCATAACTAAAGTTTACACATGTACTTGGACTTCAGTCAAAAGGTAACAGTACCCAAGCCCTAAAAAAAGAAAATGATCATTGACATGATATCAAAACTGCTGGACTTGTATAACATCCTTCTCCATTGTTCAACTACCACCACCCTCTCCCTCAGCTCCAACATATGCAGCCAATGCAAAAACCTGGCATTAACATGTAGCAGTTCTAGGTAAGTTATACATTTTAAAACAGCCAACATTTCATGCATGAAGGTCAACTGCTTATCCTGTTGCGCTGCAACTACTGTCAAACAGCCTCTCTGCTGGAAAAGCAAGTTCCAGAAAACCTCCCAACTCCAGTCTAAAGCTGCCCCTGATTTTGATATATAATGCAGATTACTTGACTCTCAAGTCCAGTGGCTCTGCATTCATAAACACCCCTGGCACTGCGTCTTTTACAAAACAAATTAAGCTACTATTTTTTTAAAAAACATTTACTATGAGAACATTCGATGGATGACATAACTGGTTTTAAATCACATTCAGGGTTGTTTTACTTTCAAGAGTGATTAGTAACACCTATGGTCCCGAACCTTCTTAGAACATAGGAGGAACACAGGAAAGGTTATCTCTGCAAGGAATATTCTCCACGAAACTGGGAAAGACTCACATGAGACTTTGGAAAACTAAAAGATCAAATGCCACCCTGCCATTCTGGTTACCCTTCCCCCGTTAGAGCTCCACATATGTTTCACATGCAAATATTCGGAAGAGTGAGGGAAGGGTAAACACACAGAGAGACGGTGGTATCAAAGGATGTGCATATATGAACATATGCCACAGTGAGATGGTCGCCTAGTATATGCACACGCAGCCACACCAAGTATGCGGACAGCATGGGTAGGCTGGTCGTATACACAGAATTACGCTTGTGCAAGATGTTATCCACGTGCAAAATACCCCAGCTTTTCACACCTGAGCCAGAAGTCGCTCCACTTTCTCTTGCACCACTGCTTTCAGCTGGTCGAGGCAGTCAGGAAGCAGGCGGACGGAAGGGTCCCCTTTGGCGGATTCGAGAGCGGCGATCCTCGCCTGGAGGTCGTTGGTTTTCACCCCCAGGTACACACAAGACGTCACGGCCACCACTGACAGGAGGGCCGCCAGGACTGCGCACGGGGGCACGGCCCGGGCACACCGCTGCCCGGCGGGGCTCGGGTCCTCGGAGCCCGGCTCCCGGGCCCCTCCTTTCCCCGCAGGCTTCTTCAGCAGCATCGTGATGGGCTCGGCTGCCTCCCACCCTCTACCACTTCCAATAATCTTAAAAGGCACGAAAAGGGACGATTCCCCCGAAGTTCAGTCCGGGTGGGCTGTGCAACTAGTTGGCGGAGTGGAAGAGGGGGCGCGCGGAGATGGACCCCCGCTCTCCTCAGCGCCGAGACCAGCAGTCGCGCACCGTCCTCTGCCTCTTCTCTCCTAGCTGGGGGGTGAAGAGCACCCCTCAGTCTAGGGATGGATGGCAACAAGGTAAAACCCCGGGACGAAACGCCCTCGGATAGCCCTGCTGGCCCCCAGGGGATGGACACTTCGGAGGTCCCAGCGGGCGGCCGCCAGGGGCCCGGGGACAGTGGGCGAGGGCTGCGGTGGCCGCCGCTCCCCTCGCCCGCAGCGCGGACCTGTTGCGTCTCTGCTAGTTCGCCTTATTTCTACCGAGTCGGTGTTTTCCGCACGCCAACTGCGTCCCACCTGGACCCAGTTCCAGGCAGAAAGGCTGAGAGCGCAGCGCAGCGAGGGTGGCCGAGGGGCCGGGGAGAGAGGAAACGAAATAACCCAGGAGCAAAGCGAGCGGCGGAGCCCAAGTCGCGGCTGCCCCAAGGATCTCCGCAGCCTCGCGCGTGCAAGCCTTAAATACCCTTCGGGATGCTCGTGTGTGAGTGAGTGCGTGTGAGTGCATGTGTGTGT